TAGCTTTTGAATTCTTCGAGGGATAACAGAATCTACAACTTCTCTGGGCAGCATTAGTGCTCAGTCACCCTTACAGTGAAAAAGTGGTTCCTGATGTTCAAATGGAGCCTCCTGCATTCCAGTTTGTGCCCATTGCCTCTGATACTGTCACTGGGCATCACTGGAAAGAGCCAGTCCTCTTTGCACTCTCCCTTCACGTGTTTGTGGTTGTTGAAAAGATACCATTGAGTCTTCTCTTCTCCAGCCTAAACAGCCCCAGCTTTCTCAGCCTCATATGACAGATGCACCAGTCCCATGATCATCTTAGTGGCCTTTACTGAAGTCCCTCCAGTAGCTCTCTAAAGCTCTTCTACTGGGGAATCCAGCCATGACCACAGCATTCCAGGTGTGTCCTCACCAGTGCTGAGCAGCAGAGGAGAAGAAGAGTCACGTCCCTCCCTCACTTCCCAGCACACTTCTGCTTCCCAGGACACCACTGGCCACCTTTGTCTCAAGGACGCATTGCTGGGTTGTGTTCAACTTGGTGTCCACCTGAAACCTGAGGTCCTCTTATGCAAATCTGCTTTCCAGCTTTGAAAGAAACAATAATACTAAATATTTGTACTGAAGATGGTTAGATTCTTGTAAGGTTCAGTTCAGAATTCCACTTGAAGATCCAGATTTCTTCATGGTGGTGGTAGTAGTTTTATAGTGATAAAATCCCATTTGCAATTGCTCTTCAACTATCTTAAAAACTGTTTCTGAGAAGACCATTGTTATTTTCCAGTACAATGTTAAAATGGAAGTGTGCAAGATGCAATACAAATAAAAGAACAGTAATGCTTAATATGAATCTAGGAGAGGGAAGATTGGCATATTGTTGAAACTGAGTTGAATGTAATGCAACAATATAGCTGCTTTTTTTCTTTTTTTCCTCCTTCAACATATTTTCCCTTTTTTCTCTGCAAGAAATATTTGGGCATAAAATTATTAACTTTCATTCCCTTTTGGATTGCTAATGGAAGAAAGGACAAATGTTGTAATAATGTTTGGTGCCTTTAATTGGCTCGATACTATACATAAGAAATACCACAAATTATCCAAGTAATTTATTTTTTTTTTACCAAAAAAGCCATAGTGAAGCAATTATAATTGTATTCTTCCCCCAGCCACTGAAAGCAGGATTGTTCCTTAGTTGCTGAGGCTGTTCCCAGCCTGTCGAGGTCAGTGGAGCGCTTCCTGTGCTTGAACAACAGTTTGGTCATCCAGGTCATAAGTCAGTTTGGGCCCAAGAGCATTACAACGATATAAACACACAGCTTTTGGGGAGAGGAGAGAGCCTTTAAAACCTGCGGTCAGATTTTAGTGCTTGGTGTTCTTAAATTAAAATTGATGGCAGGAAAGGTCTGTAGGTCTTGTATCTTCCCTGTCTACTTATGGTTTGTAGCCCTTTGTTTCTACTCCTGAATGCTTTCTCAGGCCTTGGAGCTCGCCCTGCTCCAGCTGTTGATTTTGTTACAAGAATTGTCTTCATTTGCTTGTATTTTTAGAAGGAAACTTTACACAATATGCTGTGCTATCTTAAAATGACTCGTGTTCAGTAAGTTTACGTTTCAGACATATGCTGGGTTTTTGGGTTTTTTTTTGGTTTGGTTGGTTGTGTGGTGGGGTTTTTTTGTATGTGTTTTTTTTGTTTGGTTGGTTGGGTTTTTTTTGTTGTCGTTTTTGGTTTTTTGTTTGTTTTGGTTTTTTTTTTCACTTCGTCACACTTTATACCTCACTGTAATCATATCCGAGTGCTGTACCCTCATCTCCTTACCTGAGGCCCTCACGTGTTAGAGAGAAGATCTGTTTCCGTAGTTGTTAGGAACTGATCTTGGATTCTGGTGTGGTTGTCCCCAGTCTTTACTGGTGCTCAGCACCAACTCTTGGGAAGTAGCATGATGCTATGGACAGAATCCCATTTGGCTTCTCCTGTAAACTTTGCCCTGCCTCAAGAGCTTCCAGTGGCCACAACCAAAATTGAGGGCTCTCAGGAGATGTTGGGTGTGATATGATAGATTTGGCCTGCTCCTGCAATGCTGTTCTTCATGCCCCATTTCATGTCCTTGTGGTAGCTCCAGTAAAAGGTTCATCTCTCAGCTGATTGCCCTGTTCCTTTGGTTTTCTTTTGTTTAGCTATTCTGGATAGAGCTGCTAAACATGCAAGTGTAGGTAAAAATGTTAGGCTGTAGGGGTTGGAAGACACTGGAGCCTTGTCTGCCCTTTTTTCCACAGCTAAGCTACACCAACAGTTTAGCAATTTGTTCCAAAATTCCCAGAAGTAAATGGGCCTGTAACGCTTAGAGATACAAGACATTTGGGTGGTTTCGGAAGCACCAGGACTGTGACAGGCAGATGCTGTTTTGTTTGCAGAGGATTCTGGAAATGGAAATCACTCTTGGTCCTGCTGCTGCTTTGTGGCTAATTGCAAACCAGCTCATATTGTTACTAAAAATAGCTATCATTACCAACTGTGAATTCCTTAGAATATAAAGAATAATACTAAAACCCAGCCACCATCAAAAGCGCAAAACTGAGCGATCTCTTTGTGGTCTTCAGCATTACTGCAAGTACAGTAATGAATCTGTCCAGTTAATTTACAAGGTAATTTTCTGGAAAAACTTTTGTTTCCATTTCAGAGCTTGTTCATTAAATATTGCCTGTTGGGGAATATTATTTTGGCTCTTGCACTAGTACAGTGGATTTGACAGTAGTTTCTAAAAGGTCAGAATGCATAAAAGTTGTTTAAAACAATTTAGAATATATGGATGTAAAACACAAGATTGTTAACTAGACCAGACTAGGCATTTTAGTATAAGGAAGCTGGGGGTGAACCCAACACTGGCAGATAACTTCTGGCAAAGAGAAGTAGCCAACTCACTGATGTATGCTGTGTCCTCTGCCTTTTCTTCTTAGCACTTCTTGAAAAGAAAATTGACGTGTAATGTAAACTTTCTTTAAAAAAAAAAATGAAATCTGTTGTAGTTGAAGTTTACTCATGTAGCCCAAGTGAAGCTTTGTGGTATCCCTAAATGATGCTTAACTAAACTCCTGCTGCAGTTACGGAGTGAATAACTGTACAGAGAAGTTTGTGGTTTGTTTGAATGGAGAAGTGCAGAAAGGGTGTGTAGGTTTAACCTGTTGGTGCATCCTATTTCTTAGCTGTTTCAGAGGAAAGTCCGAGTGTCCTCAGTTAGTCTGAAGAGGCTCTTGACCTGAAAGAAATGAGACAAAAGACTACCTGTGTCTGAAGTGTACAGCCACAGTCTGAACTTACCTCTGTGTGTTATCTGCAGTGAAAGAGACCAATCAACTTTCAGTAATTTTATTAAGCATCAAGATGTAGCCATTTTTATTTGCAGGTGTTAGAATTGGTAGATGCGTACAGTGAAGGTTTGGATCTGGATTATATTTGTCTGCTGTGTGGTAGGAGTTACTAAGATGTTGGTACAGAAATGGTGAGAAACATTGACTGAACTGTCATTTTGATGATGAGGTTTAGGGGGAAGAGGAGGAGGCAGGTTTTTTGCTTGGAGGGGGCAAATGAAGTCTTTGTAAACAAATTCACTTGCCTATAAGCTAAGATTGGGTACTCTTATTTCCCGTTTTGCAAACTGTTATGTATTTAAGTTTTAGATGCTTGCAGGAAAAAAAAAATGAATCATATGTGTGAATTATGTGTGTGTGAGAGCATAATATATTAATTACGCAGAAAAGCCTACCTTCAGTTATTTTGGGGCATTTGTGGAGAAGAAAAATAAAGCAGGGATCATTTAAAAATACAACAGTTTGGTGAATGATTATATCACAAGTAATTTTGTACAGAATGAAAAAACTTGTTCTCTGCTAATATTCCTTTCAGTCCTTCAATTTGACATCACTAATGCTAACTGGCATAAGTACTTAAACCCTCCATCAGAAATACATTGCAAAAGATACCGTGAAGCTTGCTTCTTTTAAAGTGTCAGAGTGTTCATTCAGAAGCTATTGCATTCATGCAGTAAACCATACTTTGAGTGTAGGATCTTACAACATCTTCATTAAACCATGGGGGTTTTCAACTGACATAGCAACAAATCCATAACTAAAACTAAAATATGTCATTTAATTTGAAAGAAAGAAATAAAAGCTGAGAGAGAGAGAGGATCATCAAACCGCTTTTTCCAAGACTCAGAAAAAGGAATTTGGCTTTTAAGTAATGAAGTGATAACCATTTGTTTATTTTATAAACAAGCTAAATGATGGAAAAAGCTGTTAAATGGTAAAACGCAAGTAATTTTCCACACCCTGAGAATACAGGAGTGAACCAGCTAGCAGATACTGCATGCAAATATTAGGTTTTAAGTAGCAGTAATTGGTTCTGTTCTCAAACCCCACATCATGTGTGTCCTGACCTACCCTTGCAAAGGAAAAGTTATGTGTATGGGGCAGGAAGGAGGGAGAAAGGGAAACAGGGTTTCTGGCTAGAAGCCTGTTTTTGTTTAGATTTCAGTGGCAGAAGGCCTGACCTCTTTCTGCTTCCTTGTTATCTTTTTTTGTTTGTTTGTTTGCAATTTCATGGTGGCTGACTGTCTTCATGATTAGTCTAAAATAAATCAGGAGTTGATCCTTACTCTCTTCCCCTCCCTGGCCATCTGTAGATAGATCACTGACTGTAAAGTTTTTAGAAGAATATCAGTTTTGACTCTGATGAACTACATTGTCTGGTTAAGTGTCTTTACAAGGCATCACATGTAAGCTCTAAGAAGTCTTAATAAAGGCATAAAATAAAAGTACAGAAGATCATTTATTTATTTTAGAGCACCTTCTTAGACTAGTTTCTTTTAGGTGACTATTACAGAAGGTCTGAACCTCTGCAGTGTTAATTATTGTGAACTTGATTGTGAGTTTGTTGCTTTGTTTTTTGGTTTGGTTTTAAAACTAGACTTAGCTGGTTTGCTTTTATGGAAAACTAATTTCTTCTTTTGCATCTCTTCCAGTAATAGTTATGCACGAGTGCGAGCTGTGGTGATGACCCGGGATGACTCAAGTGGTGGATGGTTGCCACTTGGAGGGGGTGGACTAAGCTGTGTCACAGTCTTCAAAGTCATTCCCCAGGAAGAGAATAGCTGTGCTGATTTTCTTATCCATGGAGAACGACTCAGGGATAAAACGGTAACAGTTTATATCTGTTTAATGTTCCTGTTAAAACCACATGGGACTTAAGAATAGATGTTTGCTTATTGCTTGTAGACTAGAAGGTAAATTTTTAGACTTAGTAGAATGCTGTGGCTGAGCTTTTGTCCATATAAATGATTATATACCTAAAGAGCCAATTATTTGTTTTAGGTATAATACCATGCATTTCTATAATTAAGCATGCTTATCTTTTAGAAACCTGAAAATATATTTTTCGTTGCATATTTCCATCCATTCGGGAAAACACTTTGCTATTCAGTTTTTTCTTTCCAATGAAGGGTTAAAGTTAAATCTTCTTGTTGACCTGTTTATACACCAATGATATTGTGTTTAACAGGAGCCTTGGAAAATGAGATAACTTGTTAAAAACACAAAGTCTGAAGGAATGCCACCTTAATGATTCAGTTAGTTGTAGAATTTGGCTATGACAAAACATAGCTGTTGAAACGACTTCTGTGTTGGAAGAAAGAGCTGACAGGTCCAAGAATTGATCTGATTTGATGAACATATAGTATTAATTTCTCAGCTAAATTAAGTAAAATACCAGTAGTAAACTTCTCTTAAATAGCATCAGAAAAATCAGCCTCGGAGAAGGAAAACTGATACAGGATCTCAGCCATTTCTACACACAGACCTTTAGAAGACCAAATTGACTTACTGTAGACATTTTCTTGGTTATTTGTGTGACAGTTGAAAAGAGAGGGGGTCTTGCTGTGGAAACAAAGAAGTGGGGAAGGCACAGAACCTCCATCTTAATGACTTTTATCAAGAACTTTCTCTTTTCTGCCAATAATTTATGACTCCTGTGTAAGCTTAAAAGGCAGAATTGCTTCTTACACCATACTGCTGATTCCTTCTCGAGCACACCGCTTTCTTCCTTGAGACAGGACTGCTGAGTTTTCTGCCTTGACTGACTGTTGTAGGAAGAGAGCATATAAATAGAAATTCTGCTGACTCAGTTGTTTCAGCGAGGCGTAGTGCTATTAGCAGAGTACCCTGTGTTCCTGCACAGCTATGTGCACCTGCAGTTGCTTCCTCACTTTGCAGTAGTTCCCTTTAGAACATTTTTAGCCCTACTGAATCTCCTTATTGAGGAGCTTAAATGCATTTAGAGATGCTTGACAATTTTCTCTTAATTCTTAATACTTTTGACATTAACAGCTTCCCTTCAAAATCTGAGGGTAATAAAACGCTCAGAACTGAAGGCTGGTTTAAAGTTTCTCCCGTGTGCATATGAAAATGTTGTGGCCATCAGCATCCTGGTCTGTTTATGCTCTCTCTCCTGCTTCCCCTGGGCAAGCCTTGTTTCATTTCCACTTCTCATAGAAGGCTTTAAATGTCTCTGCTTCTCTTCCTGTCCAAGATCAAGCTCGTGCTAGTGTGAATATGTTTTCCAAACCTTTATTTTTCTGAACAGGTTTTTTGTGATTTTAATTTTATCCATTTTTGTGTGTCCCATCCTGTGTCCATCTATCCCCCTCTGCTGCCCCCGGATGTGACCTACTATTCTGTCGGGGCAGATTTTGATCTTGCTGCAGTTTTAGGAAGTTGCTGTTGGAAGTCAGCCCCTAAAAAACACAGGATAAAAGATGAAAGAAATGCAGCTGGGAAGAGCATCTCTCCAAAATATATATTGAATAAAGGTCAGAGAACTAACAAATACAGTTTCAGGCTGTGGGGAAGAATACTGTATAGCATAGTGGTGCTTTGGTAATGGAGTAAGAGGAATCTATGTATGCGTGTATTTTCTCAGACTTCAAATAATGCAGCTATAAGCAACAGCTAATGTGTAATGAATTAACAACAAAGTTGCACAGTATGCAACAAGACTTCTGATGGCATGAAAGAAACAAGAACCTCCCCTAAGGTATGCGAGGACATCATTAGGTCATGACAGTGTTTTCAGAAGGGTTGTAGCAGGGACAGGAAGAGAAATTGTTGGGCAAGGACCCAGTCTCTGATTCTAAAACTATTCTAATCATATGCTTTCAATTCTTTTAATGGTTTTACATTTGTTCTTAAGATGTTCCTGTGGATTTACTGTTCAAGCACAATAGTTAAGCTCTTCTCTAATGAAGCCAAGCAATTGGGTTTTTTTTTTAGTCCAAATAAAATTGCTTGCTGACTCCTATATTTCATAATACAAAAAAACGAACAAGAAAAACACCACCGAGAAGTTGAAATGTAGTTGTCTGTTCCAACTGAAAGAGTGAAGAAAGCCGTGCTCTCAAAGGCAACCCTGAAAAGGACTGCTGGTGATTAATTCAGTGGCATAAAATGCTATTTCTTCTTTTTCTTTAAAGATAAAGGGGAAGTTGTTATGGGTTTATCATATTTGCTGTTGAGCAGGAACCAAATATTTTTATTATCTTCTGATTTTGAGTGAGAGTTATACCGAGTCTGCTGTTTCTGTGCTCCAGCATTGCTCCAATTCATTTTAGAATGGCCTTGGTGTGTATCTGTATATCTGAATAGTGTTTGAAGTTAGTTATATGCTGTTTAGTTGGTTGCTCAGCTATTGTATTTGGAAAGAGAAAGTAGCAATATTGTTTTCAAAAAGCTTCCTAAACCATTTTGTACATTTCAGTCATTCAGACTTTAAGCACATGTTTAATCTACTGAAGTAACTATAAGTTATGGCTTTGTCAGCTGGACCACGATTTTGGGTTCACGCACTATTTTGTGAGGTGCACACAGCCATTTCTGCAGATAGTTCTGGGGATTAAAAAATACAGTAGTTGTTGCAAGTGGAGCCTTCCCTCCCACCCCCAAGTGGCATTATACACTGTCAAAATACCTTTATAACTAGATTATATTTTGATTTCCTCTTGCAAGTAAGTCTTTCTTTTGTGAACAGGCTCAGCTTCCAGAAAAGATGCAGAAATTCCCTTATCCTGGGAAACCTATAGTTGGAACTTGGAGCACTTTTTTGGGACACAAGGAACCATGGATTTTTAAATACCTCAGCTTAGAGAGCAAACAGAGTTCAGATCTGTGGTTTTACCACACATGGGATACATGGAAATCATAATGCCAGTTATTCAAACTATGTGTCAGTAGAAAGGTGGAATGTCTTCCAAAGTGACTTGAACTCCATAAGTGAGGTATTTCATGGAGGTCCAGATACCTTTTAAATGGTTATACTCTCAAAAAGAATGAGAGATCTTTTATCACTTCCCTTATTGTTTCTTCTAAACTAGCTTTGGTTGCTGCCTCTCCAGGTACTGCTTTGGACACTACATTGCAATTCCATTCCAGTGTGCCAGATCTCTCCATATATTTGATAGGATATGCAGGCATTTAATTTGGACTACATATCACACCTGTATAAATTAGATCCTTTGGGACTGAATATCAAAATATCGAAGTTCCTTGTTGGAAGGGTTTCTTGTCCTTTATATACCTGAGAGGTTGCGATCAGCCCTTTTACAAACCAGCTTCAAGCTACGTGTAGAACTTCCAAAATTTGTGTGCAGTACTGAATGATGTAAAACCCCCAGGGTGGTGGTTGAGGCCCCATCCCTGGGGGTCTTTAAGGCCAGGCTGAATGAGGCTCTGGGCAGCCTGATCTAGTGAGAGGTGTCCCTGCTCATGGCAGAGGGGTTAGAACTGGGTGATCCTTGTGGTCCCTTCCAACCCTGACAGATTCTGATCTGTTTTGGCAGAGGACTTTGGAGCCCTGGTGGCTTGGTGGTTGGACTTGATGATCTTGGAGGTCCCTTCCAACCTAAATGATTCTATGATTCTATGTCATGGGGTTCACAAAAAGCATCCTAGTTACTTGAGGAGAACATTGAAGTGGTGATACCATTGAGCTAATTTAGGAGAGAGAATGTTCTTCACTTCTTCACTCTGGTTGTTTAGATCTGTGTTGGAATGCAAGGGTGTTTCATGAAGGTTATGACAATTACACATTTCCCCCTTATTATTCTCTTCTTCCTAGATCTGGCTCCAGCCAGTCTGCTTGAAACAAACAGTTGCCCTCCTAACCTGGTCAGGTCTGCTGCTCTCTTTTACTGTGCTTACAGTAGCTCTCTTGTATCTTAATATCACTAGTGTTACACGTTAGGCTCAAGCTTACAGGTTTTTGGGCTTCGGTAAACTTCACATTTGTGAATGAAAAGTCTAATAGACTTCTCTGTTCTGCTTTATTTTATACTCCAGTCCTTTGCCATGCAAGTTTTTACTGAAAGAGGAGGAGGAGAAAAAAAAAAAAAAAAAAAAAAAAAAGGTAATTTTTTTTGGGCAATGAGAAAGGAGAAAAAGGAGGAAAAAAAAAAAAAAAAAAAAAAAAAAAGAGCTGATATCTTTTGGGTCATGAGTCAGGAGTAACAAATCAAAGTTTAAAATCTTTCTTTTGAAGAACAGGTAATTGTGTAAAGGGAGAGATACAAATCTGAAAGTGAATATAAGTACTGTTCTTTTCTAAAAATCTGCTGTTCAAAAACTTAATTTATCATTTACTTTTAAAATTTGCAATTTGCTTTAAAGTTTATGAAAAGATGGGTTATGGTACTGTCCTAACATCAGCTTTTGGAACTGAAGAAAAAGAAAGCACACACAGAATAATAATCGTGTCACAGGGCTGCAGTGTAACTGGGGCCGCACATGCTCTGTACCATGAACATTCTCAGGTCGTGCTACTTGATCCCAAGTCTAGAGAAAAGCCTTTGATACTCTTTAGCAGAAAAGGCATTCCAAAGTTCCATCAAAAACTATATGCTTATGTGTTTGTAGATTTGGGCTGGGAGTGAGAAATTATGAATGGATCTACCTATATGTGGTGTGAAAGTACAACTAGAAACAAGTAAAATAGTATCTAGTAGATAGAAATGTTCAATTATGGAGTCTGTTATCAAAATAGAAATTTACATCTAATGCATTAAAGTTTTTTATATTTGTTTCCAACACAAGCTTTAGAAAATGATGCTAATATCTTAAATGTTCATTTTTGTTTAAAAATATTGGTGCTTAAAGTGTTGAAATGTAGTTTCTGATTTTAGCAATTTATCTTGTCTACACCGGCCAAAGTTTCTCTATATAGATCACTGAGATTTACAAAGTTAGTTTTACAGTACTTCTTGTTGATATTTGAGGTGAAACTTCACACAAAATACAGTGTGAAAATAGGTGGTGTTTAATATAGTAGAGATTCCCTCAAAAGTGCTCACAGACCTAGAATACAGTGATGTGAGAAATCTTCTTAATTCCTCCTTCAAGGAGGAAACAAGTTTAAATTTGTCAAAAGGAGCAAAGAACGATCACTTAATATACCTTAGAACTATGGAATGAGATACACCTTATTTACTTATTTATTTATTGGCTGCAGTACATTTTTCTGCACATCTACAGTGAATAGTTAGATTTCTTCCTGTGCTCTCTTGTAAGCAGTTGTACCTATGTATTGTTGACCATTTAGGGAATTCAGAGTGGAGTAACAAAAATTATTTTAATGCTGAAAGGGTTTATATGTGCAGAAAGTATTTCGTTCTACTAGGGCACAGATAAAAGACAGAACAATTCAAGAGGAGATGATTAGTGGTGGACTGTAGGGTAGTGGGAATAAATAATGAAGAGCAGGGGAAAAAACACTATTTGTCGTAATTAGACAAGGGAAGGAGATGAAGAACACAAAGGATATGTAAGAATAATCTAAGTACAGACAAGTATTTTTTAACTCAGGAAAAATCTCCAAATTTATGTTTATAATTAAACTAATTTTTCCACATGCTGTAAGAAATTTTGTATTTTTCTCTCAAAAAGCTGTGTAGTAGTAATACTTTATGGAGAGTATGTAGTAGTAAAGCTTTATGGAGATACAGGTAGTCTTGCTGCACGTTTTATTCTACCTAGTGCTGCAGGAGCAGAACAGTGCATGCGCACCTTGGATTATTTCCTTTTTTTTAAATCAAGCAGCATTCAGTGTACCTATTACATAAAACCCAGCCAATCTGAGGTGGGAAAATTATGTGAAGAGTGAGATTTTGCTTTCTGACTGAATGTGCATGTATACCTGGAAGAGTTTTGTAGCCAAATAATTCTGTTAGATATTCCTAATTGCTGGTTTTATTATAGTTAAACATGAGCCATAAACGTATTTGTGTCTAGGTATGGGCAGTGATACATTCAAAAATAATTTCATTTTTATTCACTTTAGTTTTTTAAACTGTTCTCCTATATTATTTTCTGATGTATAGTAGCCTTTAAGCGAGAAAACTGACAAGACCTAAAAGCAGCATGGTGTTAGTCCAGTGTTCAAAAAATGTTACAGAATAAGTATACAAATCAAATTGCCAGTGTTACAGTAATACTTGGTATCAGCACAGTGATGGTATTTTTGGGTGTAGCTTGTTCCATTTGCTGAACGTCTAGGTAGTCTGTAGTGACCCAAGTGCTTGCTGGGGGCATGAGATACTTTGGGGGGTGGGTAGAGTCACCAGTGTAGAAATAGTGTTCTTAACCCATACCACCTCTCAGCAGTAAGTTGGCCACAATGGGAGCAAAGTTAAAATTACATCTCGTTATCAGGAAGAAATATAAACAGAGACTTTTATCTACTCTTCTGATATATGTTTACAGGCAATTCACAAAGACTACATTTTATTCTCAAATTTGATATATTAATTGGTGGTGTCTTTTTCCTTCTGTGTTCTTTCTGGAAGGTGGTCTTGGAATGCACATTAAAGAAGGACCTTGTTTACAACAAAGTTACCCCTACTTTTTACCACTGGAAGATTGATGACAAAAAGTTTGGCCTCACATTTCAGAGTCCTGCTGATGCAAGAGCATTTGACAGAGGTATTCGGAGAGCAGTAGAGGATATTTCTCAAGGTACGTGTTTTAGGTGAAGGGGTTGGTGGGGGCCATGGTGAGTGTTTAGTAAATGAGATAAGTCAAAACACTTTGCATAACATTAGTGCTGGCAGTATATAAGGATATGGATTGAATGAGATTTCAGCAGTTTTTAAATAGTACTCTGGCATTTCTAAAGTGCCATTTATTAAATTGTCTTAAATTGTTTCACAAACACTAATAAAGTAATTCCTGAAAAGTGAAGCCTCTCTTTTTTTCAAAGATGACAAAATGGAGGATGCTAGAGTGTTAGTGTCTTACTTGGATCTTCTCAGAAGCTTGTTGCAGCTTCTGTGTTCTTAGAGGATAAGTTACAGTGTTAAACGATTTGGGACTCCTTGAATTTCCTTTTTATCTGCACATACTTTCAGTTAAGAGTTTTGTTTGTTTAGCAACAGCTAGCAGAGTAGTTCTGAGGGCTCATTTATACAGGATTGTAGAAAAATTTACTCTAATATTGGCTAACTGGTTCTAGAGCTTCACTGACCTCATAGAAACTAGTGAGCAAATTGAAAATCAGTTCTGAGCGGAAAATGGGATAAATGTGTTGCTGGATGGGGAGGAGGAGGGAGGGAAGGAAGGAACAGAGTAGGTGTCTATTCAGTGGGGAGAATGTCTTTCAGTCTTGTAAAAAGTAACTCAAAGTAAGAAATTTAAACAATACTCTGCTCCATTTTGTGCTGTAAATATAGGGATTTAATGTGTGTTACTATGTTAGCAAATGGAGAAACATGTTTCTGAAGGGAAATGCTTTTTGACATACTAGAATGACTTGAATTGTGCTGATATCATCCATATACCTGCGAGAGAAATAATTAGAGAACATATGAGTCCTCTTCTCTCTTAGGGTGTCTCAGTTCCAATTTCTGCTGACTTGTAGCAAAATATAGCACGGTGTGCATTCACGCCAACCAAATGTATCTGCCTCTAGTTTTCAAAATCCCTTGCTTCAGACTCCTGATGACACTTTGAAAATGCTTTTATAAGAGAGGTGTGAACCAGAAAGAGAGGAGTGTGGATAGGAACACTCAGTATATGAAATAAAGTAGAAATGAATGGTACTTATTAAAATCAACATGAAATACTGGTTAAAAAAGTAAAGAAGCGCATTTATGTCATCACAACTGGATATTGAAGGATGATGTGGGAGCAGTAAATTGTAAATAAAAATAAACTTGTATATTTTTGTTGTTGGTTATTTTTAAATTTTTTTGTAGGTTATCCACCCTCTCAAAATGATGTTGAAGTGGCAGAAGACTGCTTTCAAGTGAGTTGTTTTGTTTTTTTTTAATAATAGTACAGCTATTTTTTAAGAGATTCATCAATTTTTGTTTTTATTAGTGAGAATAAGCAAAATATTAGCAATAGCAAAATTTATTTTAATGACATAAGTTTCAGAACATTTATCTAAAAGGCTTATAATATTCTCTGTCCTAAACTAAGTAGTTGGTATTTAATCAATAGGATGATTAACTGTCCTGAGTTCAATTTTTAAGTTTACGGTGTTTGTTCTAGGTCATGTGTTCTTTTTGAACTCATGGTACATGAAATATTCTTCTGTGGAAAAAATGAAATGGGTCAGGAATCTTCTGCTTTTGCGTGTGCATCCTGTTTGTTTTTGCAGTGATAGACACTTCTAACATTTTCTGGTTAGAGTTGGAAAGATGCTGAGGTAACAGTTTTAAGCATCTAGTCCAAACAGGGGTGGAAGTTGAGATGATTTTTAAAAACACACTGAAGATAAAGAGATTCGGATTTTTCTTGATCCTTAATTGCACCATTCCATTTCTGTAGGTGATGGCATAAGAGGTAAAAGTCTCCTACTATGCTTCAGAGCTGTAGTGCTTTACACAAATGCCATGTCAAATGCTGTAACACAGGTGTGTAGCATTGCCTGGGGGTAGCCAAGAATCCATGTAATTAAAAGGCCAGTAAAAATAAATACTATGGATACATACATACAGTAAATGGCTGTAATGTAACTGTGTAAAAAACTACTTGTCATCTCTTCTCTCCTGTTTTCTGTTCCAGTTTCAGGGAAAGTCTTGCCTTTATTCACACATACATTCAGTTTCAGAGTTCAGATATTTAAATCAATATGAATCTGATACAGAAACAAGTTGACTCATGTGTCTCAGTGACTATTCAGAAAACTGATGGTATTCTTAAGTGATTTCTTGA